AGTCAGTCATGGCCGAGATCGAGTATCATGAAGTAGTAGTAGCGGCTAATTATGTATTGGGATCCTAGAGAGAATATTCAGTTGAATATTCTCTATATTTGTACTTTTAGGGTCCTTTGGGGGATGTCTCATATAAAAAGGAATGAGAGATATGACAAAGGGCATGAAATGTTCTAGGTGATAAGAACTCTTTTGAAAAGCAAGCTCTCTAGAGAAATACAAAGAACATCTTTCTAAATAGATTCGTCTTTTTGGATTATTCCTTGTCATTTCCACTAGATCCGAGAAAGTCTTCAATATTCTTATAGTTACTTGTTACTCATCATTGTTAGAGGACGGAATCATCCACCTCATTCAATATTGGGTAAATCTTCCTCTTTATTTATATTGAGTTCCATTTATTGCTATTTAATATTTAACACTTCTAGCACGTTATTGCATCCGAAGCATTCAATACACAGTGCATTAAATCGGCCTCATCCATTTCTATATCTCCCACATCGCTTATCTTAGACCTAAAATTATTATATTTAACTAGAATTAACCTCTTAAATATCGATTAATTAATTTAGTCAAAAATAATCATTTTTTGGTCATACAATTAGAATGCAAGTTATAAAATGGCAATGGAGAATGCGACTGCAACTTGTAACTTGCAATTAGTGAGTGCGACTTATAAATCTCAATTAGTGAATGTGACTTATAAACCGAAATTGGAACGACTTATCAAATCGCAATTGACGAATTGGATCATAACTCGCAATGGACATGACTTATAAATCGCAAGGTATAATTTCAATCATTGAATGCTACTTATTACTCAGTCTGTGAATAAGACGTATAAATATAAATCGGAATGCTATTGGGACTTTCCTTCTGAGTCATCTTGCAGAGAGCGCAAGATCCACCTCCTACTCTCTCACCTTTGGCAGTTTGGCTTCAACACAACTCCTAATTCTCTTCGCCTGTTTCTCTCTGTCTGCCTTTCATTTGAGATCACTACACACTTTAACACTATAATTACTCACACACATATGGTCCTGGGATCTTCTTTAGAGTGAAATAGTAACGGATTCACAGCCTTCCCGTTCTTCGTTTTTTTTTTCATCCGGTAACCGGTATTCAAATGGGTTCGACTAGATTCGGATTGGTGTGGAAAGTCCCACATTGGGGTAAAGTGCTCCCTAACAAAGGTGATTTCATACCCAAAGCTCGAACCCGAGACCTCTGATTAAGGATGAAGGAGTACTTAACACTCTAGCACAATTACCAACATGCATGCCTTCAATTGGTCTAATGCATACAATTGTTTTTCTGTAACCGAAAAAAGAGTAAGTAATGGAGATGCATTAATTAATTGGCAAGCTTACATGTACTTCTTTTTCTGATGAAAACAATGAAACGTTTCACTTATTGTAAAACTACCAAGCATATATATACACAATGGAAATGACTGAATTTTAGATAGGAAAAAAAAAGCGAAAAAAAAACATAAAACTAAAGGAGCTTAATTAGAGAATGGCTTCTCTTTCTGGCACCACTTTCATGGCTGTATCCATATTTTTCTTAGTCATGTTCCTATCCAATATTCCTCCATTTTCTATGGCTGATGAAAAAAGTATAGATACCGATCTTGATTCAGCTAAAACAAATGCTGGAAACATAGCAGAATATTTCAAGGAGGGAGATGAAGTAGACGAATATTGTTACAATAAATTACAAACAGCATTCAGTATTCTTGTAGATGCAAACGATCGATACAAAGAAAGAAAGTACGACTGCGTTATTTTCATGGCTAGTGATGCTTTAGACAGTGCTAACGGCTGTAAAAAAGAGCGTGACGATTTAACAAATTTGAAAACCCTTATTCAGAAAATAATACAACAAATTAAGGCGGAAATCCAAAGCAATATAATTAATGACATGGCTGAAACGTCGTGTGTTAAAAGCGATCTTGAGTCAGTAAGATCAAGTGCTTTACAATTAACAGAAGAAATGGGAATGGCAGAAGATGCATATTGTGAAGATAAATTTTCAAATACATGGTATAAGGTTGGAGAAGCAATACAAAAATACAAAGAGAGACAGTTTGATAGTGTTATTTCTTTGGCTAGTGATGCCTTAGACAGTGCTAGCGTTTGTAGGAATGAGTTAGATGATGTAAAAAGTTTGAAAAGCCTTATTGAAAAAATTATACAACAAGTTCAGAAGTTGCTTCAAATTGTTAATTAGAAAAAGGTTATTATGTTGATTAATTTTCTCTTGTTAAGATTGGAAAGTTTTTAATTTCTTCTTAAATGGACGCAGTTTCTTTTATGAGCTAGAAAGGAAACTGTGATACTGAAAAATAAGCTTGACACAGGTTGAAGTTTGTTATTCGTATAATCGTATCCCAAATTAAAACGATGTCTAAATATATAAACTACATTAAATTCATAAATCCAAATGCCTTGACAAATTTCAAGTACAAATATGATCCTTGATCCTTCCATAGAATATACTTCATATATGAAAGTAAACTCCACATGATTTCATGTGTATATATAGCATACCGTATAATAGGGGTGTACATGGACCGGGTTGATTCGTTTTTTATCAAAACCGAACCAAACCAACTATATCGGTTTGGATTGGTTCGGTTTTATCGGATTTTTCGGAGGTTTTTTGTTACTTTAATATTATTTCAATCTTACTTTGTTAAATTTTTGATAAATAAATATATGTTTAGTAAAAATATAATTAATTGATAAATATATTATCTATTAAAATATTCTTATAAGATAATATTTTAAATAATTGGCAAATATTTCCTTGTGAGACCAAAAAAGAAATAGGTTCATATAAACTGGAACAAAAGGAGTAATAATTATTTTTTTAGTCGTCTGACAATAATGTTTTGTTGATGTACACTTTCAAGGTTAACCGAATTTAGTAATTAAACATAAAAATTAATATGATACCTAAATAATAATAATCACTTCACATTCGAAAAAGATACAACAATTTAATAGATCTTAACATATGATATGAATATGGAAGAACAAAGAGATTAACGCATTTCAGTAATACTTGATGAAAAAGTGATCATACAACCCATTATTTAAGGTTAATAAATATGGAGCACTTCATATACTATTAAATATTATATCCCGCAAGATAATCCCAGATATTTCTAGATATTTTTTAAAGAAAATTCTATATAAAATCTTATAAGTACATATAAAAATTATATATTTATATGTCGGTTTGGTTCGGATTTTTTTACTCAATACCAAACCAAATCAAATCAAACCTAGTCGGGTTTTTTAATCGGTTTGGTTTGACTTTTCGGTTTGGTATCAGTTTTTCGGTTCGGTTTGTATACCCCTATCATATAATACGCCTTTTGGCAAAAGAATAAAAAATTTAACATTTAAACATATATTCCTAATCACAACATGCATGCATGACACGATATATATATATATCTTAACCTCATCACCGGGAGTTTTAATTACTTTGGGTTTCTTTTTCAATTTCTACTATGGTTAAGAACATCAATATTTAGTTTTAGTGTGAAGTATGAGTAAAACTACTACAAATCAGCAGGCAGTTTTAAGGAAGAATTATGGATTTTTTTTTTTTTATATTTGTGTCTCAACTCCTAACCTCCATCCCGAAAAAGAAAAAGTTCGTCTATATACACGTAAGTTAAAACAGTAGATATAATTAATGCATTCATGCATTAATAGGCATACTTATGCCTTAAATTGGTACTTAAGTAGTGAAATCTACGAGCGTTTCACTTCATTGTAGAACACAACCAACTATAACTACACAATAGAAATGGCCGAATTTCTCATAGGAAAAAAATAATACTAGTGTAATTTTACAAGAGGAGCTTATAAGAGAGAGAATGGCTTCTCTGTTTGGCACCAGCTTCATTCTATTTTCTGTGGCACTGTTGTTATACATTAATCCTCCATTTTCTATGGCTGAAGGATCCTCATGTATAGAAAGCGAGCTCGAGTCAGCAGAATCACTTGCTAATAAGAAATCGAATGAAGCCAGCGATGTGGGAGACGAATATTGTATTGAAGAATTCTCGACTGCGACGTCCAGTCTTACAGCTGCAATCAAGCGATACCAAGAAAGACAGTATGATAGTGTTATTTCCTCAGCCACTGATGCCCTTAACCATGTTAATAATTGTCATGGGAATGAAGATTTGGGAAACCTTATTGAAAAAATTATACAACAAGTTAAGGAGGAGTTGCTTCAGAATCAATGTATGTAATTAGAAAGGATTCAAATCCTTATCTCCAATCCCCTTTTAAACCAATTAACCAGGTTATGTTCCCCTGTTGAGGCTGGCAGATTTTAACCTCTATATTTTCTTTGATTTGCCTTTTTTCTTTTTCTTTGTAGATTTAGAAGTCCATAATAATATTGGGTGCTTGGAGTTGAAATGTATAATCCGTCATAAGCATACAGTGTATGCAATTGAAAACATTTTAATGAATTCCATGTAAAGAACTCTAGCATAGTAAGATACAGGTAGAATGATATGAAATTGGAAAGTCATCATTCGTCATATTCGTGAAAAGGTAGGATGAATGTAAGACAGAGATAAAAAAATCAGAATTGAAACTGGAGGTAAATATACTAATTAATGAAGAAAAAAATACTGCTAGTATAATTTACTCACTCATCTGAATAACCTATAGCAGATTTCATTAAAAACATAAAATTTGAACCTTTCTATTTGTATTATTTATATAAGTTATTTCATTGATAACAATTAGCCTGCACCTCTTATGCAGAGATAGTTGACTCGGGACCTCTTATTTTGCAACCAAAAAAAAAGAGTACCTTCAATTCCCCCTTGTTATGGAATTTTCGTGCTATTGATAAAGGATGCAAAATACAGCTTTTATCATGAGTTGAATTATCAGAAAACATGCGGTTTGTAGGTTTGCTGATCTTGAAGCTTAAAATGAAACAAAAGTTGCTACAAGATTCCAAGCACATATGCAATGTCTAGAGTGAAACAAACAAAGGCTTCATGAGAAACCAAGCGTCCCTCATATTTGGTATACCACAAGTTCAAAATTACATCTGCAGTAAATCAAAAGCTACAATATAAGGTGACATTTTTAGTATGCTGAAATTAAACCGCTTGCAGTCTAGTCACCAAAGCAGACTCTTGGTAAGTAATCACAAAATTCTTAGATGATCTTGGGCTGTCTAACAATGTCTTAGCCAATCGTGTTAAAAATTGGGAGGCACAGCTCTCTGAACATTTTCGACATTTTCTTCTCTTTGCTACGATAACAAACTTCTCTAAAACCACTGCATTCTTTAATAGAAACTTTGAAAGTTCAATAAGCTTATCAAAGTCCCCTTCAGACCACCCCTTCGAACATGTGGCCCACTCACATCTCTGTATGCAGTCGACAATCTTAATATTCTTGAGACTGGAAAACACAATGTTTGGAATCCAACACAGCAAATTGGTATCATCTCCCTCGGCCAAATAGCTTAGCTCAAGTTGGCAGTGCTCATAACCAAACTGGAACAGAGAATAGAATCAGGATCCAATGCTGATCTACGGCCTAGTGGTATTATTCCACAGAAGACAAAATGAAATGATTTCACAGCAGTGTATGATATAGAGCAATTTTCAAAACCCACGAATCTTGAACAGTTCTCAGCAAATGATTACAATAGCTGATACCTATATGAAATACTCAAGCAGTAGACAAACCAAGCAAACGGAGGTTCAGTTGGTAAACAATCTTTTCCTTTCTTGAACCTGTTTACCAGATAGAAAGCAACTACCCTGATCTTTTAAATTATAGCTTTATAGTGGCAAAAAATTCTTAGAGATAATTAATGCTATATTTGCATTCTCCTTAAGAAACTCAGTCTTTGGTTTGGGGGTGGGGATTGTTAAATTCAAAAATCTAATGGATGTCAAAAGAAGAGCATAAACAGAGAGAAATCACGACCTCATATTCAATGTGAATGTTGAGTGTCTCCAAAAGAGGCGAGGCATCCAAAAGGCTAGTTATCCCATACAAAGTATGCTTTGATACCTGCAATTTTAGTGTTAGACACTTGCATCTCAATTGTGGAAGTGCCAATCCTTCGAGTTGCAACATGAACACAACCTGGAAAAACAATCCTAATGAAATTAGTGACGGATTGAGAAAGAAGCAAACAACAAAGGAAAAGTAATCCACAACAAAAAGATAGTGCTATGACAAATCCAACCATAATAACCACTTTAAGGAACAACAATGTACAGAGGCTAGTTTCCAAAGCAACCTATTGCCAGTAAAGAAATAGTATCCAATTTCAGAAAGTAGATAGGAAGATCACAAAAGGTCACAAAAGGTGAAGACAGTCATTTTGTATATTAAAAACTTTTCCTTTCAATTATTCAACCAAAAAATCTTTTTTCACCGAAATTCTCATGTACAAAAGAGTTCATAATTGTATGAGATTCTAAAGGTTCTTCTCTTTCTCAGGTTTACATCCTGCAATTTTTTGCTAAAAAGTCAACAAGAGAACATGGTCTTTTGAAACAAAAACAAACCTCTGCTAGCCAACTTCCAATTGTTAGCTCAATCGCATAACTCAACTTTCGAAGATAGTCCCGAACAAGGTTTCTGAAAACTTGATGATAATCACGACAACTTTCTTCCTCAATATCGTCTTCTACGGAGTCATCAGCAGTACAGNCAGTACATCAAATGTCAAAAGTTAGGCTGGCAGTAACCAAAGAGGAGACATTTACTAGCCTACACTTGATATGTCCAAGAGCTCCTGGAAATATCCAAATGCTGAAGATGTGGGGCAAAAATTTCCAAAGAATCCTCATTTCCGCTACAAGGCCACTTATGGCTTGCCAACGTTAGTCTCTTTAGATTTGAAGAAGTAATTTCAACACGACGAAATCCCTCAAATAGTGACAACTCCATAGTTTCCAAAGCAGGACAACATGACAGTAAGTTCACAATATCGTCGTCATCAAACAAAATGTATTGCAACTTCAGGCTTTTCAGAGACTTCCACTCTATTATCGATTCCTTATCAAACGTGCAACAGCTCCAATCCAATGTAATCAATGACGAACAAGTGCACATAGATAGAGGCGGCCATTTGTAATAAAGTTCTTCATCATCAAAGGAACACAAAAAAACAACATCTTCAACATTTCTTTCCACAGCAAAACTAATCCACAGGCTGATTATGAACTCAAAATCCCTATTAGACATGTCATTTAAATCGAGTTTGAATTTTTCTGATTTTGGGACAAGTGCAATGAGCTAAAACGTGGTCCACAAAGGATGCGAAGTTCTCAGCTTTGTCGTCATTTCTAACAACGAAATGGAAATTATCAATTGAATTCCAGAGATAACGCCACCTTCTAGAGAGAACAGATGATGCGACGGCATCTCTCGTCGGCAAAAGAGAGAGAATTTGTACGAGGAGTGCGTCTGGCAACTGATTGATACGATCTAGGGTTTCTTCAACTCCAGTAACTCTATTCTCTTGTTTCTGCGACATTGAATCTCTCAAATTACTTGTAAAATCTCCATTTTTGCTGGGTTGGACTGAAGCCATGATTTCGACATTGAAGATTTGCTGGGTNGTTGAGCCGACGGAAGCGGGAGTTGAAGTGAGGCTTGACTCTCAAGTCATTCCCAAGAGGGGTAGCTTCAAGTACCTTGGATCGGTTATTCAGGGTATCGGGGAGATTGACGAGGATGTCACACACCGTATAGGGATCTCCCGAGGATGTCACACACCGTATAGGGGTGGGGTGGATGGAGTGGAGGTTAGTGTCGGGAGTCTTGTGTGACAAGAAAGTGCCACCGTTACTAAAAGGTAAGTTTTATAAAGCAGT